GCCCTGTGCTGCCTGGGGGTGGATGCTCGTGTTCCAGCTGCACTCTCACCTTTCCCTTCTCTTGGTTTCTGGCACCCAAGGAAGAGAAGTCTCTATTTTGATTTTTATATCAGGTATTGGCTTGTGCTTGCTGTGCCGCTGCCTGGCCCCCTCCTCTTTCCCCATGTGCGTCCATCCCTCCTGCCACACAGGGGAGCTGTGACCCCAAAGCAGGGCAGGGCTGCCCTCCCGCATGCAAGCCTCTCCCAGCACTGGAGGGGCCGACTCCTTGCCTCCTTGTGTAGTGTGCCCTGTGCTGCCATGTCGGGGACAGGGGGTCCCATGGGAGGGAGGGCAGAGCAGACGATCCCAGTGACCCTTGCCAGTGTGAGGGGTCCCTGGGCCACAAGGTCAGCCACATGGCCCTCGGTGCTCAGCACACCCAGCCCCTGACCAGCCTCTTTTCCTTGTGCAGCCCCGATGAGGACTCCTGCCAGAAGTTTGTACCCTTTGTGGGGGTGAGTGTGTTGTGGGGCCAGTGGGCAATTGGGGCTGGGGGAAGAGGGGCAGTACACAGCCCTGCTGACGCTGGGGAGCATCTGACTTGTCTGTCCCTGCAGGTGGTGAAGGTGGGCCTGGTGGAGCAGTCCTTCAGCGCCTCCGGTGAGTCCCTGGGAGCCCACAGTCCCCAGTCCCTTCTCCACTGCGGGGAGGCCCTTGTTGGTGTCCCCCAGCCCCACCCTGACCCACACTCTTCCTTCCCAGTGGACTCGGATGATGCCACTGCCTGCACCCCCTCCCTGCTGAGCTCAACGCCAGCTGCCAGTGCAGCAGCCACCTATAGCAAGGAGACTGTGAGCACCCCGCCACCCTCCCCGTCTGTCAGCAGTGGCCTCTCAGGTGCTGGGTAAGAAAGCCCCACTCAGTCTGAGGCCATGGGTGCTGGGGTGGGAGGGTTTGAGGTGCTCCTTGGCCCAGCTGCCACATCCTGGGATTATTGGGCCAGTGCACATCCAGGGGCTGTGGGGAGGGAGAGGGACAAGGACAGCAGCTGTGTGCTGCATAATTCTGCCCATCTTGCCCAGGTCTCTGAGTCCCGGTGTGGAGGTGATGGGCCTGCAGGTGGACTACTGGACAACACAAGGGCTGGACAGGAAGAAGGAGGGCGAGAAGCGGGAGACGGGTATCAAGAACACGCTCAAAAGCAACTTCCGCTCACTCCAGGTCAGCCGCATCCCCAGCACAGGGGAGCTGGTGCCGCCTAGCACCATGGCCATGACCGTGGTCACCAAGGAGAAAAACAAGAAAGGTAACCAAGCCTCCCCAGGGGTGGTCTCCAGCTGCAGGGCCACAGCCCATTGCAAAAAAGGCAGGGGGGGAGCCCACAGGAGGGCAGGGCTGAGATCTGGCCCAGAAGGGGCCAGTCAGTGCAGCCAGCCCTGGGGTGAGGGCTCCCACCCTGGGCCAGGGGAAGACATCCTAACGTTGTTCCTGTCTGTCCTTGTCCCTCAGTGATGTTCCTGAGCAAGAAACCAAAAGAGAAGGACCTGGAGCCCAAAAGCCAAGTCATCGAAGGGATCACACGCCTCATCTGCACAGCCAAGCACCAGAACACCATGTTGCGAGGTGAGGGGAGGCACAAGCCCCACAGGGCTGTAGCTGCCAGCCCAGGCAGTGCAGGCTGCCTGTGGTAAGGCTGTGCCTCACTGCGCCCTCTCCTCTCAGTCTCCATAGATGGGGTGGAGTGGAACGATGTGAAGTTTTTCCAGCTGGCAGCACAGTGGCCAACGCACGTCAAGTACCTCCCTGTGGGCATCTTCGGCTACTCGAAGAGTGTGTGAGAAGCCGGGGCAGCCCTTGGATGGAGCTGCAGCGGGTTGCAGGAGAAGACAGGGACATGGAGAGATGGACACGCTCTCGTCACCTCTCTTCTGCGGCCCAGCCCCTGCCTGCTCTGCAGAGGGAGATACCACACCTGCACCGCTCCCTATGGGGCAAGACCTGTGAAAGTGAGGCCAGTGAGACTGGGTTCATGCACCCTCCAACACCAGCCAGGGGACCATGCCATCTGCCTCCCGTGACCCCCAACAGCAGCCTGGGACAAGGGTTGGCACCAGCCAGCAGGGACTCGGAAAGGGCTCCGGCCCCCGCTCTCCCCAGCCAGCCGGAGCCCCAGCTGGGATTGGCCC